CTATGATTGAGGTTTTAATTTTGTTGTTACATGAAGAGATAGAGGTGTATAACCTGACTTCCCTTATATCACACCTAAAGTGATCTATGATTGAGCTTTTAATTTTGTTGTTACATGAAGAGATAGAGGTCTATAACCTGACTTCCCTTATATCAAACCTAAAGTGACCTATGGTTGAGGTTTTAATTTTGTTGTTACATGAAGAGATAGAGATTTTTTATTGGACAGATCAATGAAATGTTTGCTGTGAGTGTGTATGAGTCAGAATCTCTGAACGTGTTGTTAAATAGGGTCACCTAAGCGCCTGGATATGTTTGGTTTGAAAGTTAAGAAGATGCCTCACAAATATCAGTAAAGAAATTATTTTGTATGCCATGCAAGTTGTGTGACAGTGAGTGACCACAACAAAGATGTTTTATGCTGTGGTGCATAAGTTTCTTTCTCACTAAGGGAGATTTAAGTATATTATTTGTAAATGTTATTTAACTTTAAATCAATAATATAATAAACTTGTTTAAAAAGTTTTCAAATTGTGGTTTTTTAATTTAGCTTTGATTTTTTTCTCACCATCATCAGATGGTAGGCTGTTCAAATCACCCCCTCGCCTGTGGTCTATCAACTGTCTGTCGTCTATCTTTAGTTATTGTTATCAGTATTTCTCAAAAAGCACGACGACATCTTTCTTAAATTTCATATGAGGGTTCCCTTTTGTCTTCAGTTTTGAATTTAATTTTATCATACCTCCACACCAAATGCTTCTTAGGATATCATTGTTTGAAGTTTTTAACATATTTGACCCCTGTGACCTTGAAAGCAGGTCAAGGTCATTTTAATGAGGCATTTTTATAGCACTCCATCCCAGGTACCTACTGGCCAAATATCATGACCTTGGGTCCTCCAGTTCTTCAGAAGAAGTTGTTTTTAAGAAAAAGTTGATGACGGACGTCGCAGTACGGCATAAGCTCACATGGCCCTTTGGGCCAGGTGAGCTAAAACAAACAAACCAAGGGATAATCAGTACCAGGCATCTGCCCGTAGTAGACCTTGACCCCGCAACCCAGTGGTGGAGGGCTAGTGATCGTAGACTGTCAGATGCCTTAACCACTTGGCCTAATAGGCCCTGCTGTTCATATGTAACAATACTAAGGAATATAGGGATTTTGTTTTTATATACAAACTAAAAATAACAAGATTAAGGCATTTTAAACACTTACTGTGTGAACATAGTTTTTACGTACAAAGCTGGTGTTATCGCTCCTATGACTGCTTCCGTCGTCCGACGAGGTCAGAATCTTGCCTTCCAGCTGGGCCATACGTTTGTCCTGCGACGCCACACGCGCTGAAAGGCTGGACTGTGAAATGACATCACAAAAACATGATAAACTCAACACAGTTTCGAGTCTTCAAAGTATGACGTCATAAACGTTATAAAGATTATAAAACCTGTTTACAGTCAAACATCACAGTAGGTGGAAATACCGACTTTTCTGAAAATAAAATAATTGGGGTGGGGAGTCACTTACTTTGTGACACATTGTCAAGTCTCAGTCCTCCCTATATTTTTAACAAGAGGCCCAGAGGGCCTGTATCGCTCACTTGAATATGTTTAAAATAATTGGTATGAAGTAGGTGCTGTAAGTACATATGAAATTTCAGAAAGATCCATCCAGTACTTGAGATATAGCGAGAACAAACTTCAAACAGAGCCCCACCCCTATATGCAACTTAGGGGGGTCATACCCACCAATTATACAAAATTGAGTCCCCTTGACCCAAGGATGCTCCAGACTAAATAAGGATAAAATCCCATAATCCCGATGGTCGAAGAAGGATTTTAAATGTTTTACCTCTATTTCTCCTATTGGGCCCCGCCCTTCTACTCCTTGGGAGACCACACCCACTGCATGCTTATTCAAAATTGAGTCCCCTTGGCCCATTGATGCTCCAGACTAAATTAGGATAAAATCCCTTAATCCCTATGGTAAAAGAAGGATTTTAAAGGTTTTACCTATATTTCCCCTATTGGGCCCCACCTCTCTGCCTCCAGAGGGGTCAGACACACAATTTATACAAAATTGAGTCCCTTTTGCCTAAGGATGCTCCAGACTAAATTAGGATAATATCCCTTAATCCCTATGGTAGAAGAAGGATTATAAAGGTTTTACCTATATTTCCCCTATTGGGCCCCGCCCCTCAGGTCCAAGGGGGGGGGGGGGGGGCACACACCCCGTTTATACAAAATTGGTTCTCCTTTACCAAAGGATGCACCACACCAAATATGGAACAAATCCTTTCATTCCTACAGACGAAGATTTTTTTGGAATAATTTGCTATGTTTCCCCTATTGGGCCCCGCCCCTCAGGCCCCTGGGGGGCCACATCCACGGTTTATACAAAATTGTTTCCCCTTCTCCCAAGGTTGCTTCAGACCAAATATGGAACAAATCCTTTCATTCCTACAGAAGAAGAAGGATTTTAAAAAAAATGCTATGTTTCCCCTATTGGGCCCCACCCCTCAGGCCCCTGAGGGGCCACACCCACGATTTATACAAAATTGGTTCCCCTTCACCCAAGGATGCTTCTGACCAAATATGGAACAAATCCTTTCATTCCTAAAGAAGAAGAAGGATTTTAAAAAAAAGGCTATGTTTCCCCTATTGGGCCCCCCCCCTCAGGCCCCTGAGGGGACACACCCACGATTTATCCAAAATTGGTTCCCCTTTACCCAAGGATGCTTCAGACCAAATATGGAAGAAATCCTTTCATTCCTACAGAAGTAGAAGGATTTTAATGAATTGCTATATTTCCCCTATTGGGCCCCGCCCATCAGCCCCCAGGGGGCCACACCCACTGTTTATACAAAATTGGTTCCCCTTTACCCAAGGATGCTTCACACTAAATATGGACCTAATCCTTTTATTCCTAGGGAAGAAAAAGGATTTTAAAGAATAATTTGCTATGTTTCCCCTATTTGGCCCTGCCCCTCAGGCCCCTTGGGGGTCAGACCCACAGTTTATACAAAATTGGTTCCCCTTCACCCAAGGATGCTTCTGACCAAATATGGTACCTTTAATTCCTACAGAAGAAGAAGGATTTTAAAGAATTTGTTATATTTCCCCTTTTGGCCCCGCCCCTCAGCCCCCAGGGGGGCCAGACCTACGGTTTATACAAAATTGGTTCCCCTTCACCCAAGTACTTCAGACCAAATATGGAAGAAATCCTTTCATTCCTACAGAAGAAGAAGGATTTTAATGAATTGCTATATTTCCCCTATTGGGCCCCGCCCCTCAGGCCCCTGGGGGGGGCCACACCCATGGTTTATACAAAATTGGTTCCCCTTCTCCCAAGGATGCTTCAGACCAAATATGGAACAAATCCTTTCATTCCTACAGAAGAAGAAGGATTTTAAAGAATTTGTTATATTTCCCCTTTTTGGCCCCGCCCCTCAGCCCCTAGGGGGGCCCGACCTACGGTTTATACAAACATGGTTCCCCTTCACCCAAGAATGCTTCAGACCAATTATGGAAGAAATCCTTTCATTCCTACAGAAGAAGAAGGATTTTAAAGAATTGCTATATTTCCCCTATTGGGCCCTGCCCCTCAGCCCCAAGGGGGGCCAGACTCACTGTTTATACAAAATGAGTTCCCCTTTACCCAAGGATGCTCCACACTAAATATGGACCAAATCCTTTTATTCCTACGGAAGAAGGAGGATTTTAAAGAATAATTTGCTATGTTTCCCCTATTTGGCCCGCCCCTCAGGCCCCTGGGGGGCCACACCCATGGTTTATACAAAATTGGTTCTCCTTCACCCAAGAATGCTTCAGACCAAATATGGAACAAATCCTTTCATTCCTACAGAAGAAGAAAGATTTTAAAGAATTTGCTATATTTCCCCTATTGGGCCCCGCCCCTCAGCCCCCAGGGGGGCCAGACCCACCATTTATACAAAATTTGTTCCCCTTCCTCCAAGGATGTGGGTTTTATGTAATCGAATTATGTTCCTAACGGTGTCGGATGTTTTGAATGTTTTCGACTGTTACATCTTGCGGTATATTCTGACGGACAGAGTCAACAAAGCTTGCCAGCTTGTACAGCCAGGAATAACAAAACAAAGATTATTTTTCCATGTCGTTTCTTTTCGGAGAAAGACTTGACCTCGTTCTACTTTGTGTTGTACACCCCCCTGACAAGTATGGCAGACCCACTGTTTATACAAAATTAGTTCCCCTTTACCCAAGGATGCTCCACAGTCCACACTAAATATGGAACAAATCCTTTTATTCCTACGGAAGAAGAAGGATTTTAAAGAATAATTTGCTATGTTTCCCCTATTTGGCCCCGCCCCTCAGGCCCCTGGGGGGCCACACCCATGGTTTATACAAAATTGGTTCCCCTTCTCCCAAGGATGCTTCAGACCAAATATGAAACAAATCCTTTCATTCCTACAGAAGAAGAAGGATTTTAAAGAATTTGTTATATTTCCCCTGTTTGGCCCCACCCCTCAGCCCCTAGGGGGGCCAGACCTACAGTTTATACAAAATTGGTTCCCCTTCACCCAAGAATGCTTCAGACCAAATATGGAACAAATCCTTTCATTCCTACAGAAGAAGAAGGATTTTAAAGAATTTGCTATATTTCCCCTATTGGGCCCCGCCCCTCAGCCCCCAGGGGGGCCAGACCCACCATTTATACAAACTTTGTTCCCCTTCCCCCAAGGATGCTTCTGACCAAATATGGACCAAATCCTTTCATNTACCCACCATTTATACAAAATTTGTTCCCTTTTCTCCAAGGATGCTTTTGACCAAATTTGGTCAAAATCTGCTAAGTCGTTCATGACTAGTAGCGTTTTAAAGGAAAAGTTGACGGACAGACGGACGACGGACGACGGACCAGGTGAGCTAATAAAACTCCTCAAAACAATATCTATAAGACCACTGCAGTCAAATTTTTAAGATTGTTTTTTCTAAGATTACTGTGGAAAGTCTGTCCCATTTAGGTAAAAACCAAAAATCTAAAGAATGGCACTTTTTATTGAACTCAAGTTATTCTTAAAAGAGATTTTCTAGCTTGGTCCGGGTTTTGTTGTAATATGATGACTGACAGTCCCTGATACTCGTTGAGGATTTCACGACTCTGGTCGACCAGTGTCAGGTTGCTAAGTACTATTAGAACTGCTATCCTTGGCTAAAAATAGATCCAATGGACTTGTGTGTAAAACGGAACTGCTATCCTTGGATAAAGACGGATCATACAATTTCTCTCGTCAAGTAATCAAACTGGTTAAGGACAAAGCAAACATTAGACGTCAGAAAATTCATTCACAAAGGAAATCATTTCATAATATTTTTACTTTACTTTAATATACTTTTTTAAGTTTCCAAAACATCAAGTAGTATAACAATTGAAACTTCAATGACAGCCAACATCACAATGAATCTAACAAAACAATGTTTATAACATGTTTTTTTTCAATTGAATCAGAAGAAATGTAAGGCCAAATATCCTCACAAACAATGCTTAACGTGAAATCAGTTTGCAACTTAATTAGCCTAATTCGAAAATTTTGCGACAAATCTGGAGCTGGCGGGCGGGCGGAAGTCGTGACGCTGTTATTCACCAGTGTAAAAAGTCCATTTATTTTGTTTGTTTTTACATAATTACTGCTATACATACCGTTGAAGCACCTTCCTTTTTGTCATCACCGCTGACAACATGCGTCATTCTCTGCGGCTCTGGCCACATGATTGGCCATGTAGTGTCGAGGGTCTGTTTACATTACGTCATCCGGGCTTCCACCGTAAGTAAGACGCCAGAGACCCTGTGCTGCTTGAGCGAGTATTCCTTGACCCCAACTCTCTTCCTTCCAGGATTCCAGACTGTACGGACAGCTTATTGTGCTCTGCATATTGTAGACCTTGTAACCCCTTAGTCCTACAGTGTGCTCTACTTATAGTAGTGACAGTTTCTCGGTGACATCGCATATTGTTGGGTACCATGCCAGATACATATTTACTAGTATTGTGAGCTATATTACTTGACCTGACCTGTCCAGCGACATTATGATATAGTCAACCATGTGACGGCTTGCAAGACCAAGACAGAAGGTAATCATTACTTCAGTCACAAGTCACCGAAATCGGGATACAGAACCTTATTTATGAATCAGTTGTAGGTAAACGTTGCCGAAGTGTATGCATATTGTGCATTGTCAATGTTGCTTAAACAACATGCCTTACATTAATTCAACACTCACCTGCACTTTTGTCTTTACCTCTTCGCGTTACGAATGATGTCTAGGCCTACACAAAATGAAAGTAAAATGTGCGCATGTCTAGGCTTAATGTAAGGGAGATCACTCGTGTTTTCCCGTAGTACACTATGGTGGTAGGTAAATTCTTGTACGCCGCTCCCGCTCCCGTCCCAAAACCCCGTACCAGACATATAGAGATATTTTAATATCTCATTAACGCAATCGTTTATATTTTTTATAAAATTATACAATAATTTCAATCATTATTTTCTAAATGTGA